GTGTCCTGGCCGTAGCGGAGGAAGATCCCTATTGTTATAGACAGAGATATGAATGTGCTAGCACTCCGCTAGGAGACGGGCAACAGGGGTTATTCGTGGCTAATTGAACCTCACAAAAAACACTGTAAATCTTAATTGAGCCACTATTTCAACTTGTTACAGATGGCCACAAGAAATACAGATTAATTATGTAATGGAAAACATCAAGTTAGGATTTATCTTGTGGAGGAAGAAGACACTCAGACTGTAGTTACTGCACTCCTGCCTTTTGGGCTGGGGTGGTGTTTCAAAATAAAAAGCCTCCAACGTCACAGCGTATCATTGTATGTTAACAGGCTAGGGGGGTTCTTGTGGACACTTCTAAAAGTTTCAACAATCCTACACTGCTCATTGACTGCACACCACAAGAATCAGTTTTCTTTCTATAATTTGTATGTTTTACTCCTTCAAGATACACTATTCCGTTATCTGAGTGTTATCTGATACACTTACTTATTACTATTATCTATTATTATTATATTATTATTGATATTATTATTAATTATTAGTTGATGTACATACGTGTATTATGGCGCCCATCATTGTGGTTTATTACCTTTATTTAGTTACTTTAGCAATTGACATTAAATCCCATGATGCTTCCGTGCCTAATCCCAGGGACAATATTATGCCAAGCTCCATTTAAGACAATACCATATATGTAAAACAATTATTTGCGTTTCTACATAAAAGCCACATAATGTAGAGACGTCATCATACTCTCATATATCTCTTGTCAATTCGGCATCATATAATACAAAATACAAACTTTTTGGCCGACTTTGTCGCATTTTTTTCCAAAACTCGTTTACCCAAGCCTCACTATTTCAATGAATGAGAACACACACATCTGTCACCATTACCTGAAGCAATGGTAGCCAGGTGACGGCGGATGGATGCTACTGTTAAACTACTAGTGTCAATAATGTATGGGCCAGGATCAAGGGCCAGAGTCAGGCACACTCAAAATTTCTTTAGGAATTTTCTAGTTATAGAGGTTATTTATCTATACATGGGTTGGGCTACAAGCACACAGTAGGAAGACAAGACTAACTGTAATGCCAGTCGTGGCAGTTGTTTATTAAATGCCTCAACGTACCCATTTTGTATTGCCCTGCAACAAGCTGGATACACTTTTTGCTGTGTGAGACTCACCATTGTTGAATGATGCAAAAGCAAAACATTCATTGCAGTGGCATACATTATCACAAATTTGCATTGCTTATACAACGCTTAGCTGTGCTTAGTCATTGTACAGTAGATGGCAGTATACTTGTAACTTATAATTACAAGTTAACACCCTGCTGCTACAGCATTACACAAGCTGTTTTAATAGACTGAATTCTAAGATGTTTTCCCAGCATCAGAAATTAAATGTCAAGAGTTTAACTAGTCTTGAGGTTTGAGTGAAGACATGTTAAGAATAGAAAATTACAGTTACACACTATTCCAGACTGCTCATTGTGATTGGCTGAGAGAGCCTCCCTAATACGTGCACCAAGAGATATTATATTCACATGTATTTCACACACACTGTTTGACTTAGTGATAGAGGACAGGTCACAGGCTCAACTAAATATAGCTGTGAATATATACAGTGAATATGTGCTAGCTATTATAGCATTATAACAGTTTTTTTTTTACAAAAGTGTGAAGTGCTTTCTTGTGGTGTTCCTATGGTTTAGTTAAAGTAAACATTGAAAAGGGAGAGCTGTGTGGTAGCAGGTTTGTTGGACTGAGAGCTGGGCTTTTCTGATCAGCTGTGAATGGTCTGTAACTAAGCAATAATACAGGATAAGTAGTGCTGAGATGATGTTGGTCACTGCGAAGATCTATCCACTTCAAAGCAAATCTCCCCCTTTCAAGATCTGAACTCTGAGTACTGTTAAAATGCATATAATCAGTAAGCAAATAAAACTACGTTATCAGATAGATGTAACCATTATAACTATCTAGCTGGATTAATCAAATTGAATACATGTATAGAATATACACACCGGTTTACAGATTCATTTTTTAAATCAGTTTAAAGCTCATCATATTTTCACCTGATGGGTGTTTAAACCAGGTTTAACAAAACGGTTTGGGTTTCGGTGTCGAGGGCCATGACACGTAGCAACCGTCTGATGAAAAGGAGTCACTTTGTTGCCGAAGTTCTGAACAGCAGAATACCCGGCTGTGAAAGGACAAAAAAGAAAAAGACAAAGGTATGAGAAACAATGTTTTTATTGGTAAATGCCTTTTAATAAAAGTCCTTTACAGTAGAAATGTAAAGACAGTTACATTAACAAGACAGTTAAATCACAATACAAAATATAATTTTTTTGTGAAATAAAGGAATATTTTTTGTCTCATTTTGTTAAAAAAATCATTTGTGAGAACAATATATTGTAAACCCAGTGTCATTCATTGTATTAAGTCATGAGTTGATTGTATTGTTACATCCCCACAATTGACTGCTAAACTAAGATAACGTACTATGTGAATACTGGGATAATGATACTTGATGACATATAAATGAAATCCTATATTTATACAACATGCATTTAACTGATCTAATTTAGAGTATTAAGAGGTTTTTAAATTATCAAATGCATTAACTTGAAAAGTTACGTCTTGTGCCACAACATGTTCAAACACACGTGCCACAAATCATACTTCCCACAGAAAACCCCATGCAGAGTGCGCTGCATGGTCCCCTGCCAATTCATAAACATACAGTATCAGAGAAGCAACTTCTCCAGAGAGGCAACTGAATGGTTCATTCAATTTAGGCAATGGTACACTCAGATTTGCAAATTTGAAAACATACTTTTAATTTGACAGGCTGACGGACTGTATGCAGACTCGTCTGAACTAATTTACAGTTTCTGTGATATCAAGCAAAATCTGATGCAAAGTTTGAACATTTTCCCCTCACAACTAAGAGATATGGGAGCTGCTCAGTGAAGCCATATTTGATTTGCAACATATAATTTGAGAAAGACAGCAGGAGGACTTATGGAAAATATGATGTGATAATATGCAGTATAGCCTCTTTGAAGCAGTTACAGTTTTAAAACTGATGAGATTATTTGTCTGTGTTGTAAAAATGTCACTTTATTATTTATATGAATATAGTATCAGACCACCTCAAACTGTGCTAGGGACGTGTCAGTGTTCAGTGTTAAGCTTGATAAAAGGTACAGATTAATTAATGTCACAAACACTAACAATATCATTGGTGTAAGATAGAGACCACTACACATCTCAACCGTAGCCTCATTTGCATCTAGTAAATAATCCAAAATATCACAATTAATTTGACAATGATATATTGATGTTTAAAAATGCTACACACAGAACCTTTGAAGCGCAGTGCATAAAGGGCAAGGGGACATGTTGTAGCCATCAGCTTAGTTAGTGCTGCAAAATAAATGCGCCCAACCGGCGATGATCATGATGAATTCTTCATTTGGCCCACCGTGAAACATAATACCCACTCCCCTGCACACACTACTTCCAACACACACACACATCAGATAAAGATGCCAAGGTATAAACTTACCTTTGGCGCGGTTAATGGTAACTATCTGCTGAAAGGTACAAGGTCTGGCTTTATCCTGAGGGGCAGCTGCTTGCTTCATGCCCGCCTTGGCGGCGCTAGCCCAGGACCTGGCATTAACACCCACGCCATCTGTACCTGCAACTGCAATATGCACAGCAAGGGAGCAAAGGGGCAAGGATTAGCACTGTACCCATTTCATATGCACATCGTCTTGCCTGGCCTGTGTCATGTTAAGTGTGATGCAGAGGGTAAACTTAATAGAACTGTTATTTTCTGCTGCAAAGGAATTTTCAGCAGTCCCCTCCTCAGGGGATGAGCAGAGTGAATCAACAGGACTATGTTATCAGAGAGTAAATTCTATCATATCAGCACTCACTGCTCAAGGAGTGCTAGCAGTATGTATCACATATGCACATTTACTGAGCAGAGCTGCCTTCAGCTGCAGCCGTGCACCTGTTAAGCTGCAGCATGGAATTCAAATGGAATTACAAGTAACTGAATTGTATATTTTTATATATATTCAATTATCCTCGCATGAAAATATGCCTAGGTTACACATTATTTTTTTTATTCTTAAACAGAATAGCAAAGTCATAACCTCACTGGGAAGTTTGAAGGAGGTACGGTATGTACTGTACAAGCCATACTCCCTACTAAAATTAACACAGTGTACTTGAGTTGTTGTTGACTTAATTCCTATCTGTGTCCACTGTTCTGTTCTGCACCAACAACCAGTATGGAAGGCTCACCGTGTAATTCACTTTGCCACTGCAAAATAATCCCCTCATTATGAAAACATTTTCCCACTGAGTCATCCAACTGAGGAAGTACTTCCCTGCAACGCCAATGCCGAGCAAAGTGTGTTAACACCTACACAAAGCAATGCAATGTTTGCGTGTGTGTGTTCACACGTGGGTGGACAAGTGGCGCAAAGCACTGCCCCCTGATCGATAAGGTTGTTCGGATTTGGCTTTTTTGCTATCGACACAACTTCTTCGGATCAAGAAGTAGATTTCAAGTTCACAAAAGTCAACAAAGTGGTGAAGCTAAGCCGCCTGCCACGTGGCAGAAACAAAAAAGTGTCATTAAATGAGTTGTATAGCTGAGGAAAAGAGGTAAAACTTTGTGAGCTGGACTGTTGCAAAATTTGAACTCAGCAACTTCTAAGAGCCAGCATTTCTGCCTGGGACAGGTGTTGCTGCCTCTCTTCTGCCTTTAATTAGCCGAGTATGTCACTGTCATTAATATCAATAAGAGATTCTCGGACAGGGATGTTTGTGTGTGTTTGTGCATTTGTATCTGCAAAGGGTATTGCGAATGGCATAAAATGATTACCAGATTATTTATAACAACCAATAGAGGGAGAGGCTTAGAAAGAGCACAGCTAGGCAGAGACACACGGCAGATTTATTACCTGTAGGAGGCGGCTGATTGTTGGCCTTCAGTTCCTCACAGCTGATGGCAGGAGACTTGACTTGGTTGGTTGAGCCAAATGTTTGAAGGTCTAGCACAGATTTCTGATCTCCTGCACAGATGGAGAAGACCTCGCGGGGCACATTTTCCATCCTCCTCTGATGGGAAGCCATCTTTTGGCAGTGGTTTGGTAAGTGAGTAAGCTCTCTTTTCCCTGCTGCATTTTTAGTCTTGGGATTCCCATCACGCAATACACCCAATGCTAAAGGTTTCTTTGGGGGCTGGAGAGCTGGGAAATCAGCCAGTAGGTCATAAGCCTCCTGCTGCGTTGGGGCTGCCGGTGGTACGTTGGTTTTCGAGTTTGCCTGAGGTGCTTCTGCTTTGCTTTGGACAGGAGCCTGCGCATGGGCGGTCACACCGCTTGCCAAAGTGGCAAGGGGGATGTCATGTGGGTGGAATGAAAGGGGAATCTCCCACTGGCCATGCATCTTCCCCGAGGCTGGAGGCTCCGTGGGACATGGTAGAATGCCAGCCTTGATAGTAGATGGTGGAGGAGAGTCCTTCTCTGTGCTAGAGGATGGGGAATCCTGCTCACTGTCAGAGCTTAATTCATCAAATGAGTGTGGAATTTCATTTTCCTCTTCCTCACAGTCATTGTTGTCACTTGCTGAGTCATCACCACTGCTATCAGTGGCGCAGTTTCGCGCCCCAGGTAGAGTTACACGATCGTCATCATCACTAGAGTTGCTGTCAGAGCTACTTCTTATACTCTGCTCATCCTCGCTTTCACATGTATCCCTAGGTAGTTTAGAAGGATTTTCCTTCTCCTGCAGGCATGGGGTGTGGCTCTCAGTGGCAGAGCAGATCGGATTTGTCACCAGAGGTTGAGGTCCAGATGCAGAGCTCTCTTTGTCTCTTCTGCTGCTCTTAAGGGATGTTTCAATACTACTTTGTTCATCTGTTGCATCTCTCTCCTGACATGACTGTTGATAATGGAAAATATTGCTTAGTTGGCAGGTTTTTGATAGAATGGAGTTAATAATGTTTTGATATTTTGGGTTCTAAAGGCATAGGTTAAGTAACATACAGTAAACCAACACAGAAAACCACTTTAGCCTCCAAAGCCATCATGCTCACCAAATTTCCTTTACCCTCTGCCGCACCCTCATTTTGTTTGATCTCTTTTGCCATCACAGGCCTCATTACCTGTGCAGACTTGCCAACATGGGCATGCATGTGGCCCGAGAGATAAGGGGAAAGAAGGATGTTGTATTGCTGCTTGTCCTTCTGTCTGCTCAGGTCCAAATCATTTGTCTCTTTCTGCTTCTCCTCAGCCCTAGACAGGAAGACAGGCATATGTGGGAGTGTGGGGTTAACACATCATTTATACATGAAAGGCCATCACACCAAAATTGCTGGGACTACAAGGTTAACTGGCTCATGCAGTCTTGTATACCATGGAGGAGGAGTTTCAGAAGCAGGTGACATTTATTTTCAAATCTGATCACAGTGGTGATCATGTAGTATAAAGAGAAGGTCACTTGTATCATGAACATGCTCAAGACAGGTTTAATTGGAGGCACTGGAGGAGTTTTCTGCTTTTTTACTTCATATTTTAAAGGTCCGGTGTGTACCATTTTGGAGACTCTATTGGCAGAAATGGAATACAGTACTTATAGGTATGTTTTCATTAGCGTATAATCACCTGAATATAGGAATCGTTGTATTCGTTACCATAGCGCCTTACCTTACATTACCTTTTATGTCTACAGACACAGTGGGTTGCCTTCCATGGAGTCCCCCATGTTGAACCACCATGTTTGTACAGTAGCCTAGAAGGGACAAACCAGCTCTAAATAGGGCCATAGCTTTACAACTGCGTTTTGTTAAGGGAGGGTGAAGCGAGAGAGTTGCGATCTGCAACTACACTGCTAGATGACACTAATTCCTACACACTAGACCTTTAAGATGCTTAGTCCACCACTTGGTAAAATTATAATTCTTTGTTTGTGCATAATTCTAACCTAACTGGTTCACCAATAGGCCTATAAACAACACAGGGCAATAGGTTAACCAGTTGATACTGTATGTACAATGTTTTGCCTTAAACAGTATGAATCATTGGGTCCATGGCTGCATCCTCTATGTATAATGCGCCACCCGCTTCAAACCATGACTCTTTAATGAGGCTACTCTTTAGTCACCAGCCTGTCGACAGTTGAGCCATGAAGTGGAACAGACGGTCCGCTGAGACCAGAAACGCTTATGATAACGGAGACGTCATGGAAGCTCCGGTCAGCCGGTGAGCAGATGGTGTACATTAACATTATATGGTGGGTCTATGACCGCACAGCATCCCACCTACACTGCAATGTTGAGATCTGCGTTAGAAATAGGTCTCAACTTCTCATCCATCCTTCTAACTATTTGTTTATCCTTTTTCCATAGGTCTGTCCAATTTATCCAAATGTCTATCCAAATAATGTTGTGAATTTCAAAATGACACTGTGGCCAATAACAAAACAGCTTGTATAGAAGCGACAGGTCAAAACTTCAGGATAACCTCTACAGTAAAATAAACTACAATTTGTAAAAAAAACCACATATTTATATTTTTTTAACATAAAAGCTGCAGTGAGAAACTCCTAACCATGTAATAATACCTTTGTACCACCTATAACTGCATATGTGATGGCTTATTTGAAAGTGGAAATCTACCAACATTTATAACTGCATTAACGTTACTTAAAGAATACCTGCATTAAGTTAACTTCAAAGAATAGATGGATAGATAGATACGATAGATAAGATAGATAGATAGATAGATAGTAGAAAATAGATAGATAGATCGATAGTGGGGAAATTCACAAACACTAGCCAATGGTATTTTTCACAACCTGGCAACCCACAAAACTTCTTCCTATTAATGATCCTGATCTATGAAGTATTAGTAAATGATGTTTCCTTTTACTACTTTTAAACTCTTAATAAAGAAAGTGCATATTGATAATCAGATAACGTTAGATTGAGTATTCAAGCATTCCTTAAACGTAAAACGAGATGATACCACACTTGAGAACCAAGTGATGTGCACCATTGAGCTAGGCAGGGTTAGGGTAGGCTATATGAATGAGAAATACTGTATATAAAAATACCTTTAGACTTTCTGTGTGCCCGACAGACTTACCGGTGAAGTGGTTTGCTGTCGGGAGCCTTGTTGTCTTTACTGTGCTGTCTTTCAGGTGAACTTTGACATCTGTCAAGCTCCTCCTCTACCTCCTTTTCTCTTCTCCAGATGTTTCTGCAGACCCGGTCAAAGTTGTCCATCGGCACGTGCGGATGGATCCAGGTGGAGCGCGGAAAAGGCGCAAAAGCACTGAGGAAGGGATTGGGACTTCCTTTCATCCAAGTATCTTCTGGTAGCATCATTTTCTCTCTGTTGTTCACACGCAGGGGCTTGCCAGTCTTCTCGCAGCGTTCAGTTGTTTATTTTGAAGCAGCTTTTTTGAAAGGAAACAATATCTGGTGTGGTCTTGGCATGCTGTCATAGCAACCGGTTGAAATTCGAGGATTATGGTTCAGCTGCATTGACCGTTTCTACTGTTTCAGACAGTGTAAATCCGATGCAACTATTTCCTGTTATGTTGCTTTAATAGAAAAAAGTTGGACGCGAGTTGTTACATATAAAGATCCGATTTAATGTCCCATCATTAATCCCTAATACTCACTGCAGTCAATGAATGGATGAAGCCTACATTAAGTGTCTACTCAGGCTTTTAGATTAAAACATGCTGGACTGTAGCTACATATATGCACACACAAACTTACTGGACTCCTATAGTTTACCAATAATAACTCACATAAAAGTTTAATTTACTTAACAAAGATGCAATAGTGTGTCCCAGAACGACCTGATCAGGAGCTATCCAGTGTTGGCAAAGTTGAACTGAATGTTGCGGGGAGACTATTCCTGCCCTCAATCATATATGTAGTGTTGAAGGCCAACGCGCATTTTATTATCACGACTGTTTCCACGCACGGCGCATTGCAGAAAACTAATTATACCGGCCATATGCAAAAGTGGAAATGACATTCAAATTTACTGGCAAGGTGTTCCAGCCTGTTAAGCATCAATTTCACGTTTAGTGAGCAGGAAGTGGACATCTATGTTAAACTGCCGGGCAATCCGATGATTGGTCTTAATGGATGGAGACAATGGCCCTTTTTGTGGGCCCCCTAAATCTTACCATAACAAATTGAAACAAGATGGATCTAATCCTTAGTATCATATTATTAGTATTATTATTATTATTATTATTAGTAGTAGTAGTAGTAGTAGTAATAGTAGTAGTAGTAGTAGTAGTAGTAGTAGTAGTAGTAGTAGTAATATTAGTAGTAGTAGTAGTAGTAATATTAGTAGTAGTAGTAGTAGTAATATTAGTAGTAGTAGTATTAGTAGCAGTAGCAGTAGTAATAGTAGTAGTAGTGACTGAGAGAAAGATGAGAGGGAAGCTGAAAACCATCATGGACAACCCCTCTCATCCTCTATGC